GTATATTTGTATTCAATAATTTATATGCATTAAGTGGTTTGGATGATATTGGTAAATGCATATTGAAGTTTGAATCTCCTAAGGCGCTCACTGTATTCTCGGCTCTTACGGATGCAGAGGATACCAATTTCTTAACTTTTTCTTCTAGTATTAAATTCAGCTTGTCAATTCATCTTTCTTTTTTTTCAGTTTTGATTTAGCTTCTTCATATCTCTTCTTACAGTCGAAATAGATGATGCACCATTGGTTTCTATTTGCAAATTTTTCTTGGATTGCTTTAATATGTTTATTTTTCCTTAGTGCCCATCTTATTAACTTTTTCTTTGTTCTGCGTTATCCTCTAGAATTTTAACTAATGCTACTTTTGCCTTGAACTCTCCTTTATCTTTGCATGATTCTGGTTTTGGTGCTCATAAGCTATATTCCAATAATGAACTACTAAATTTTGATTTTTCTACTTCGACTAATCTTTCTAATTGTTTTTCTATCTCGTCTTTTAATGAGCAAATTTCTATACTACTTTCTACTAGCTAAATATCTTCCATAGTTTCTGTTATCTCATTTGCTTTTACATCTTTTATATATCATTGTTTTCATTTTGAGAAGGTATAGGTTGTGCTGAGTTTTTTGAAGCTTCTACTTGTGTGATGATTCTTATTCCTGCTAGTAGAGGTGTTTCTATTCATATTTCTACCTCATTTATTATTTCATTTACTATTTCTTGTTGCGTATTCCTTGTATTTTGTTCTCTATCTAGTACTAATTGAACTTTATCTATCTTTTCTGTAAAGGCAGCTCTTTTTAGTGCTGTATGCTATTGCTTTACTAAAGTAATAATCTCTTTATCTATGTTTATTGCTTTTGCTACCATCCCGTTAAAGTGATCTGCAAGACCTAGTACTGAGGTGCTCCCTTCTTTAATTATTTCTCTTCCGTATTCTTTCATTATCTTCTTAATGAAATGCTTTGAGCTTTCTGTATTCCACATTTTTATCTTTGTTATCTATCTTGTTTTTGTTTTCTTCTTTAACTAACTCTCTGTAAAAATTCTAGTTCTCATCTTGTATACTTCTTTTCTATTGGTTAATTTCATATCACATTCTAGCAATTTCAATCATGCATTTGTTTGTTTACCTAACTTTCATATGATTGTGTCACCTAATCTGATCTGCAATTCCAAGTAACAAATTCCCAAAAAAATTAAAAAAATTTTTGGATTTTCTTTCGAAGTTTCATTACTTCTTGTTTTATTCTTGAAATAAGAAAAAACTTTTTCTTGTTCTTCTAATATAATATGTGTAGTTTCTAGTTATTTTTCTTTTTAGTTAGTCCTTCTACTACTGTTTCTTAGTCTAGATTTTGACTTATTTCTGTTTTTCTTTTAGCTCCAGAAATAGTCAAAATAATCTATAGAAAAAGTATGTTCAAATTCGATCAATTAATGTATTTTACTGGTTTTATTCTAATATTGATATTAATTTAATTTAAATTTAGTTTAATAAACCTTGTTTTAACATGTTATTGATTAATTTATTTATATTTTATTTCTTTCATTTTTTCTGCTAATTCTAAGATAAGTATATTTGCTTTATGATCTCTTTTTGTTACCATGCAGCTTAAATATTGGTTTGTAAAGTGATAATTTTTTTCACAGTTAGATATTCCTTTTAAATATATTTTTCCTAGAAGACGCGAAGCTGTAATATCGCTTTTGTTAGATGCTCAAGTTAAAATTATTACACCTTCATCTTATAATAATCTTTTTTGTAGTTGAACTCTAATATATTCAAGTCTATCCTTTATATCGGAAAAATATCTAATTATACCACCTGAATCATTTTGAATATATGCTGATAATATAAAAAACATACGTGGTGCAAATGAATGCTTTTTGAGATTGGCATAACATTTGAGATAATAATATCCTATCTAATAGAAATCATTACTTTCTATAAACAGTTTTAAGGCATTTTTTCTAGTGAATTCTGATGCTTCATTATAACTCTTTTTACAAAGGTTAGAAGCCTTTTTATACAATGCTATAGCAGTAGCTATTAATGACGTTTTGGTTATATAGATTTGTGATAGATAGATAATCATGATAAAAAATATTCTATTCATTATTACACTTTGTATAATCCTCAAATGTAAGATTGCTATGACGATTTGAACAAAATATTTTCTTAAATCTTTTTTGTTATTCATATTAAGTATTATAACATTTAGTTATTTGATTATTTTCCTATCCCGAATTCACTATTTTATAAAAAATCTAGAGGCTAATTATTTGATATATAGAATGCTCAACAATTGACATAGTATGAGTTAATGGAAGTTTCATCTTTAATTATTTCTAAATAATATACAATTGACTAATTTTAATTATCCACACTTACCTGATTACTTTGTTTTCTAATCAATATTACATAATGTAAAACTGGAATATATTTCCTATACGAATTGCTATATTTGTTTTCTTAGTAATAATTTACTAGTCTAATAGTGACTAATTTAATCTAATAAAAGAAATTTTAATAGTAAAAATACATCAGAAATGAGTTGGCAATTGAGATTTAAAACATCTATTTAAAGATATAACTATTCGCTAATTATAATTCACATTACAATATCAAGAATATATCTTCAAAACAGTCTTCCTAATGAAATATGCTCATATATTTTTAAGTTTATTATACATCCTATAAATTTAATTTTAAGTTGTAAGAATTGGGCTCATCTATCTCTTGATAACCAAGTAAAGGTAGAATGGATTATTTATTATTATGGACAAGCCTATTGTCTCTTTTACACGATTAGACTAGGTCTATCCTTTATTTCTGTTAAAGTTGCTCAAGCTATTATTGCTAAAGGCAGAATACTTTCAAGATATTTTGTTCAATGACTTCATGCTCATTATGGTACATATGATCATAAACTTATAGAGCTAAAGATTATTCATAATATAGAGCAGACTAATGTTAGTGATATAAGAATTTTATAACAAAAAAGTAGGATTCTATGAGCAAGTAATTTGCCAATAACAGTATATATGTTTTTGTTAACAGAAGCTAACAATCTTTATGGAAGAGATCTAAACTTAAAGGGTCAATATATGGAAATATTTCATTTTCTTTCAGGTAGTCCTCATGCTATTTATTATTCACCCACTATTATGCAAAAAAATATGGATGAGCTAAGAAATTTGATATTAAATATGAAGTTTGTTCCATTTCCTCCACAAAAAGTTAAAGAAGTATAAAATAACAATGTGGAAGAATATCCACCAAAAGATGGTCATAAAAATAATAGACAGCTCAATGTTATTGCAAGAGCAATTTTAATTTATAAAGACCTTGTAACATTATAGAAAGGTATTAGTTATCATAAAATTTACTAAGATATTAATGATTTAGTATTACAAGGAGCGATATTGATTCTTTTACCGCCTGTTCAAACTATTAGATGGACTATACCAGATAAGAAAGTTGCTATTGAACGTTTTCAGGAATTAATTGATTTGGGATTTCAGTTAAACTATAAGATTATTCTTAATATTTTTCAACTTTTTGAACCTAGATTAAACAATGTTGGTAAGTTTTTAATCAATTTTTTTATAGAGATTAAGAAGGAAAAACAAGAGGATTTGTTATGTAAATGTCTAAAGGAAATGATGAATCCTACTTATAAACCAAATAATACAATTGTACAAGAGTTTATTTACACAAATTTAGCCAGAACACCTGATAAGAAATTTGCGAATGAATTTAGTAAATATTCAAAAGCTATACTTATGAATTAACTATTTTATCTAATGATATGAAATAAGAAATATAAATAACTAATTAAGAATAAATATTAAGTAATTATATAAGTTTAATATGTATTATGTTTCATATTTATTAATAAGTTAAAGTTGTTTTCATAAATAATAAAGTTTATTTAAGAGTAAATATTTTGATTATTATAGATTATTGTAAAAAATAGAACATGATAAAAAATCATTAGCTAGATTTCAAATGTTTATATTAGGAGTTATGGTTTTCTCTGAAGCTATTAGTTCAACATTTATATTCCTGTTTATATATTTCATGGTAAAAGATTTTAATATTACTGATTATGACAAACAAATCAGTAGTTACGCTAGATTAATTGGTTAGTATTTCATGACTTAGATTTACTGAATGAGATACTTAAGTTTTTTTTATAATAGTATCCTCATTCTTTTTAGTGAAAGCATGTTTTTTAATATTATGGAGAATGTTGTTCAATAAATATGGTCAATGTCCAATATTGTTGCTTGGTTTATTAGGGTCTATTATTAGTTGTTTGCTGTTTAGATTAAGTCATTCGTTATGGTAAGCCATGCTTACTCATTCAATTAGTGGATTTCTTAATGGTAAGCATATAATTAAAATGAAATATTAAAGGTATTAACAATTATTCATTAGGTAATTCTGGAGTAATCAAGAGTATTATTGGAGAAATTAGCAACAAACAAAATGAAGCAAAAGCCTATTCGATTATAATCTCTTGTTGGTTAATAGGATTCATCGTTGGACTAATTATCAGTAGATATTTATCTAACTCTGTTCTTAACTATTTGTTAATTTTCACAAATATTATATTCTTAAAAGATAACCCTTACCTTTTACCATGTTTGATAGTAGCTTTTATTATTTTGATTGGTGTCTTAACCAAGTATTTCAAACTCAAAGAAATATTCAAAAGTTATAAAGATGATGAAAATGTAGCTTTATTAACGAGAAATAATCCATACAAAAGAGAAACAGTTAAAATGAGTATTTTTAATATATCTTCGGCTTCATGAGTTATAATCTTTAGTTACTCTATATTAGATCTCAAAAATATTATTTTCGATGAAGTTTATCCTATTTGCATGATTACAGATATCAATATTGGCAGATTCAGACTAACTACTAAAAACTTAGCACTGACATTTGTATCAATAGGTACAACACAAATATTCTCTCAAATCATTATTTATCCTTAGATAGATAAAAGAGTTAACCGAGTTACATCTTACAAATATGTTCAGTATTTTAGTAGCTTTAATTATTTATTATTTCCAATAGTAAATAAGATTAAAGGTTGGAACTATTCTAAAAAAGATACAATAGCGTGTTATTTTTATTATTTGTAATATCTATTAGAATTATATTTAATATTTTTTTACATAGTTCAATTGCAATCTTTATCAACAATTCTGTGAGATCAAATTCATTTGGTAAAGTGAATAAGATAGCTCAGACTGCAGTTACATTTACGCATTCTGTAGATCCTCTTATAAGAGGATTGATTTGAATGTGGTCTTTATCTAATAACTTGAATTTTCCTTTTAATAGTTATTTTTCATTTATGGTATTAGCTATCCTATCAATCTCGAGAGGAATACATAGTCGAACTATATCTGATTATTTTTAAATATAATCAATTTTTATGTATATTATTGTATTTTATAGAAAAACAGTAGATTAAAATCTAATTCACTTTAATAAAAATGAGTAAACCTAATCCTAATCGCTTTATGTTAGTCACAAGTTCAATAAAATTAAAAAGTAATAACAAATTACTTCAAAAATCTCTAGAGCTTGATATATATAGAAATGACTCTAAAAAAAGACAAGTAGAAGAATTTCTTCGATTATTCTATGATGAATTTATTAATATACTAGTTAAAGAAGATAAACTAGTCATTAATCTAGTTAGAAGTCATTATTTATGGTTTGGTTTAGGCGGAAAAATGCCAGATAAGAAAGGAGCTAAAAAATACTTGAAAGCATTAACACAGCAAATAGGTTAACCAGTGATGAAGCAAAAGAAACAAAAAGAAAGGCTTAACTTATTCTTGTATTTTTATTGACAGAAGGAGCAAACACAATAGAATCAAATGAACTAATTAACACTTGAGAAAACCTACATACAAGAGAAGTGGTTAATTCATAAAAGCAAAAAGAATTTATCAGATACTTAACAAGGTCTTCTGAAAATGAAAGTCTAATTGCTCCAATAGTTTTAGGATATGCTTACAAGGAGGGAAAATTTGAACTTAAACTGAATTCAGATAAAGGAAATGAATATTTAGAATGTGCTAGTGAAAGAGGGAACGAAAAAGCAACAGAAATACTTCTGCTTTAAAAAAAAATGCTTAGTTTTATAACAATATCAAGGGAGAATAGATATTTTAATTAATTTATTATATAAATTATAAATAATAAACTTTAATATCTTGTAATCATTTAAAGTTATTAAAAAAAAAAATAAAGTTGAAAAAAAATATAATGTTTTGATAGCTTCAAAACTCATAAATAATATAAACAATATATCTATATCTTTATAAACTATAAAACAGTTATAAATATTATCTAATGATAAAACTAAAAAAAATGTCTGAAGAAATTAGGTCATCTTTTTTTCGTAAATATCATAACTCTATTAAAAAAATTGCTGATTTTAATATAAACTCAGAAGAAACAATAAAACAATATCTTAGTAAAGGTAAAAGAAATAATGTCAAAACAGACATCAAATTATTAACAGAATTAGCTAATAATTAATATTATAGATTTAATGTTATAAAGGATCTTGATACAGCTTTTGATTTTAACAAATGTCTTCTTTTTCTTGGGAATAAATAAGCATATCATAGAATTGATATTATTCTAGGTGAATTGAATATTACTAATGATTTGCTTTTGAAAAGTATATTGAGGTTGGATATGATTCATATAGTCAGTTGGGAAATAGATGTTGTAAATATTTTCTATTTAATGATGCATTAAGAATGTATTCAAAATTATCAGTAAGAAATGATCACTACACTTTGATCAAAATGGAATATTGTTATAATAAAAAGAGGCTTGATTATTTAGCTATTGATGCATTTATTAAAGTATCAAGATTAGGATATTTATTTACTTCTAAAGAATTACTTATAGTAAAGGAATATGCTAATATGTATGATAATAATTATTTTTTTACGATAATGAAAAGACAGTATCAGAATGAACTTACTGAAAATAATATTATCAATTTACGTAATTCAGTTGTTGATTTTGATAAGCAAGGTTCATATGACAATAAATCAGAAAGTTTAATTGAACTAGTGAAATTAGGACAAGTAATCAATAGGTCAGAATTATTGTTTTTATTAGAAAGAAATGTCAGTAACAAAATGTATGTTAATTGGATTAAAACAAAATATCATGAAAATAAAATAAATAGTAAAAATTTATTAGGTCATAATATGTATATAAAACATATACCTAATAAAAAATAAAACTTTATTATTGAACAATAGTTGAATAAACTTTAACAAATGATGATACATATTGTAATGTAAATATAATTTATTTGATCAAATTTATTAAATATTTATAAACAATTTGTTTGATGCCTTGGACATCTTTCACATTGACCCCCTTTATATCTAAATGATTTTGGACAATCAACTTTGCTATAACATACACAGTCTTTGTTCTTACAACAATACTTACTGCTATTACTGCAATATAGATGATTCTTGGGGCAATATTTCTCTAAACCTTGACAAGTTGCGCAAAAAGTTCCATTCTGATACCAGGTAATAACAAACAATTTGGTAGCCAAATACTAAATTCAGAGTTATTTGCAAATGTGCATTCCAGATTTATACAACAATTATTTTCGTAATAATGATTACCTAAATTCGAATATTAGCAATCTCTATCAGATTCACAAAATTGACAATTTCTGTCTTAACAAACAATTCAGGTTGGCAATCAGCTATAGTTCAGCATATAGCACAGTTTCCATCTATACAAACTTTATTGATCCCAGCACAATCGCTATCAGTTGCGCATATGTAATATTTGCTATAATTTTTTCTGATTTTTTGATGACAATGTAGAAATGCTAGTAGGCATCCTGCATTATTAAGATATCCACATACTCCTCTTTCAGGAGCAAATATTTCTGATGGACAACTTTTCCAAGGACTAGTACTACCAGGTTTGCATTTTTTAACATAATTATAATTTCTGTTAATACATAAACAATAACCAAAGGGTGAAGTAGTGCACTATTTATGATCTCGATATTCAGCATGGCTTCTACAACTACATAACTGAGCGTAAATATTTGAGAAATAAATAAATAAATAAAATATCGCAATAACTAATTTTTTATTCATGTTGACCTGCTATGTCTTGAACAAAAAAACAAACATTAAATATTAAATTTAAATGTTCATCAAACATTTACTTCTATTATTAGATGAACAAATGATATTTGTATTGAAACACTTTTCAAATTAAATGTTTCCATATTATGATACTAAAAAATAATCATAAGTCATCATTAATCAAATCAACCAGTTCTAGATTTTTTTTTAATACTCTAGACATTTTTATTAATCAGTATCACAGCATTTATTATATGTCACAAATTTTAGAAATGTCTATACATTATTATATGACGTAATTAAAAATCAAATAACAAGTATACTCTATATATGTATTATCTTATAATTATAATATGAACTTTAAAAAAAAATATGCAATTGTTTATTTGTTTAAAATATCAATTTAATCATAAAGTTTATGTACTCAAACAAAAGATAATAAGTAATAACTACGAAAAAGTAAATGAAATTATGCAACATTTGCATGTTTATAATATAAGATAAGAGCTCATATATTTGATATTCAGATAAACTTAAAAAAAAGCAAATATAAATATTAAAGATATGAATTCAACAATTCTTCAATATCAACAATATCTTTGTTGGTTTCCAAAAATTTGTCTTCCTCATCATCATTGACATTAAATTCATCAGTAGTATTAATTTCATCGATACTGATATATTTATTAGCATCATAAGTAAATTTAGTACCAAATGTTCAATTCTCAAATACATAAAAAAATAGGTTATAACTATTATCATAAGCCAATTGTTTATTTGGAAAATTATTTTTATATTTCTTCTTAATTTTATTAATATAAATAAAGTAGTTTTTATTCGTAAATTTAGAAGTATACTAATACGAGTTATCTTTATTATCTGAATTCTTCAAAATGTTTTCATCATTTGAATCCTTTGAATAAACATTTTGTAAATATTCTTTTAATTTAAAGAGTTCATCAACTTTTCAAGTATTAACATTTTCTAATCTTCTGTTATTGTTAGAAATGTTTAATAACGTATCATTAATTTTATTAATAGATTTGTCATTTGTTGGATCTTTATAAGAGCCATTTTTTATGAAACAAAAAGATACAGACAATTTATTTTATAAGTTTTAATAATCATCATAATAATTAAGCAAAAATATGCATAATTCTGTATGACACAACATTTCACTTAAACTTTATTAAGATCAATACTATGAATGATCATTTTATTATATTTTTCTTTTACATTTCATTTTGATTATTAGGTATGTGATTTTTATTGAAAATCTTACATATGATCACTTTATATTCTCAATGTGAGAATATGATAATCAGTTTCATGATTAATTTTAAACTATAATAAATTTGATAGATAATATGATATTTCCTTAGTTAGTTATTCTCACTTATTAATAACCAATAATTAATGTATTAAAATTTTTACGATTTATTTAAAAATGATTTGTTAATAAGTTATCAAATAATCTTAACAGACTTAGTAATATTTACTCATAGTTTATAATATTTAATAAGAATTTAAATTACAAGAAATAATAAAATATTATCCGGTATCTTTGTTATTACTATTCAATAAATCATATATTATTGAGGAACTACACTATATCTTATTTGACGATTTCTTTCATTTTGTTCTAGAATACATTCATTAAATTCATCCAAATTGTCTTTTCTTTTTTCTTTGATAAAAACTAATACCAAACATCTACATCCTAACGTAACAAGTACTGATAGTAAAGTAAACATTAAAACAATTTCTAATGTATCTTGCATTTTAGCAGCTGTTAGGGTTATAATTGATGAAAATGCTATTTTTACAAAATTTAAAATAGCAATCACTGATACACTTTTTGAAGAGAATGAATTTATCAAATAACTTGATACTAAACTACCTATTATAGTAAAGCATATACCACCAATAAACATCATTACTAATGGAATAATAATACTAAGTCTATTTTCTAGTGTCCATCCGTATAAGAAATATATTATCAAATATAATAATATAACTACCCATATTCCTTTTAATCACATTATCAGATTACCTATTCCATTATTCTTTTTTGTTTCTATTCTCAAAATAAAATCGGAATAAAATCTACCAAGTAAACAACCAATAACATATTCAGTATTTTGAGCTAAAAATACAAATTCAATTATAACCGTATTGAGATTATATAATTCGAAAAATTTTTCGCAGTAGAAATATCTTGAGCATTAAGTATGGTTATCAATAAACCAATGTAAATTAAAATCAATATAACATTTGGATAACCAAAAAATTCAAATGACTTAAATGGGTTAAAGAATCTTTGTTTCTTTTTTTCTGATAATCGATAAGATTCAAGTAAAAAAAATGCTATTGTACAAAGTAATATACTACCAAAAATTGCGAGTAATCAAAATAACCAATGCTACCCAAAATTTTGAGCCAAGTATCCTCCAACTATTGATCCAAGTATTAGACTAATTGGAGATCTCTTGTAAAATATTCCAAATACACTTCCTATTTCTTTATTTTCATATAAATCAGTTACGCTTCCAATGCTAATGCTTTAAATAGCTAATACTCCAATTGCTTATATAGCATGCATCACTAACAGTAACCATATATTATTTATTATAGCAATACAATACTTGCTATGATAAATATTAATATAGAAATCAAATATATTTTTCGTCTTGTAACAAAAAAATCTGAACATTCAGCTCAGAATAATAGAGCTATCACAACAAATATTGTAAATATGCTTTTTAGAGAATTAGTTTCGACATCGGAACTATGTAAATTATTTTGAATATTAACAATAGATGGATATAACAGTCCTA